ATCGGTCCGCAGAGTCCTGTTTCAGGGTCTCCCAGGGGTATGGACTTTTCCAGACTGATCTCCAAGATAACAGAAAAGGGTGCTGGAGGCCCTGGGAGCGGCTCCCCAGGAAGGTGAGGCCTGCCCCCATCCCTGCTTTCTTCCCTGCCTGAATTCCCCAACACTAGCTGAGCGCCTTCTGCCTGCCACGCGAGTTCCGGGTTCTTGGGTTGCATCCGGGAACACCTGGTCCGCAGGTACTCAGCGGATAACGAAGTGGACGGAGCCAAGATCCCCTCCGCTTTCTTGTGAAGGCGGAGAGACTCCGGGGCCGGAGCTGCGGCGCTGGCCCGGCCGCCCCCTGCAACCCAACCCGGGGCCGGGGACGCGCGGGAGGCGGAGGAAAGGGTCGGTCCCGGGTTCCCGCGGGGTGGGCGGGGAGCAGCAGCGCCCGGGTTCGTCAGCAGAGGGCGCCGGTCGCGGGGCGAGGTGCGCGGTGCGCATGCACCTTGGAGGCGCTTTCCGGCAGCGTGGCGGAACCACCCCTTCGTTTCACGCCGTTGGGCGACATCTCCGCGCGGCGGCAGTGCGGCCGTCATGGCGTCGCCCTTCAGTGGGGCGCTGCAGCTGACGGACCTGGATGACTTCATCGGGCCGTCTCAGGTGGGCCGGCCTGGGCGGGCGGGGGCGAGGCTGCGCTCGGTGCCCTCTCGCGCGGAGGGAAATTGTTCTGCGCCCCACTTCCTCCCCTGAGGAATGAGATCCGAATCCCGGGAGCCCGGTGGGGGCCGTCGGGGTCTCTATCGACCCCGGCGCGGGGCCTCAGACACTGCGGCCCGCTTCTTACCAACAGGGAAACTGAGGCCAGGGAGGGCGGCGCCCCCCAGCCCGCTCCTGTGCCCCACACTGTCCGGGCGGGCTGCGTGGGAGGGTCCAGCGGTCGCTGGCTGGCGCCCACCTGCCCAACCCAGGGGAGGCAGCGGAGGCGGCTCCCACCGGTTCCTAACTCTAACCCGACCCCTGGGTCGCAGCTGGAGCGCGGCGGGGCCCGCATCGGGGCCTCCTCCCCTGCACGGGCACCCTGTCAGACCTCGGGACCCCCAAGCCACAGCCTTTGTATCCGCATAAACAGGCGCGGTGGGGACCCCACCTCAGTTGAGGGCAGTGGGGGCGGCCCGCTAGACGCCCCGCAATGGCTCCTCAGTAGAGCTGTCCTGGACGTCGCCCAGGTGGGCCGGACAGCTACCCTTGAACCCAGGAGGCTGCAGGCGCCCTTATCTGGGTGCGCCTGCCTGTCCATGTCCAACAGCTCCGCGGGGCCAGAGCTGAGCAGGGCGAGAGGCGGGCTGGGAGCACTTCCGGCAGGGATGAGCTGGGAGGCGGCTTTCTGGGCTTACAGGGTTCTCAAGGAGAAGGGAGAGAAATGAACTTGTTTCCCGGGCACTGGGCAGGAGGTGATCTCCAAACAGATCCAAGCACACCTCCTCTCGATGGGCAGTGTAACCCTCTGGCCTCTGTGGTAGTCACACCCCCGTTCACCTGAAGGGTAAAGGTCAGCGTTGGTGGTCTCCGCGGGTGGGCAGTTTGCAAGGGCCATTAGCACTGGCTTTCGTGCACACTGGGACCTTCAGTGCCGCAGGATGTTGGGAACCCGTTCCCTGAGGTGAGAGCAGGGGGACAGGAAGAAGACGGTGGGACCAGCCTCAGTCCCTGAGTGTATGGCTGCGGGCAGAGCCTTCATGCCATGTGGCTGGGCAGCCATTCTTGAGACCTGGCCTCCCAGGGAGCCTCTGCCCACTCACAGGCCCTGACTTGGGGTCTGTTCCTGATCTAGGAATGCATCAAGCCTGTCAAAGTGGAAAAAAGACCGGGAAGTGGCGTGGCCAAGATTCGCATAGAAGATGATGGGAGCTACTTCCAAGTTAACCAAGTAAGGCACAGGAGGCTGCTCCACCATCTCTCCTGCCTGGCTGGTCTGAAACACTTTTCTCTGCTTCCTCCTGGCATGGAGCAGTGATGCTGAAACGCTCCACGTCTCACCAGCCCTTTTCCATTGGTCGAATTCACCTGCCATCTGGGAGGCTGGGGGTCAGGGTGCCTGGGGCAGGTGAATGAGCAGCACCCAGGCCAAACAGCAAGCTTGGTCTGCTCAGCAGAGGGCTCTTTTGCAGAGATGGTGGATCCTGTCTACCCATTCCCCCAGTTCTAACCATGTAAAATTTTCTAGTTCAGTCCCCTTATTCTTAAAGAATAGTACTTCCGGCCGGGCGCGGTGGCTCAAGCCTGTAATCCCAGCACTTTGGGAGGCCGAGACGGGCGGATCATGAGGTTAGGAGATCAAGATCATCCTGGCTAACATGGTGAAACCCCGTCTCTACTAAAAAAATACAAAAAACTAGCCGGGCGAGGTGGCGGGCGCCTGTAGTCCCAGCTACTGGGGAGGCTGAGGCAGGAGAATGGCGTAAACCCGGGAGGTGGAGCTTGCAGTGAGCTGAGATCCGGCCACTGCACTCCAGCATGGGCGACAGAGCGAGACTCTGTCTCAAAAAAAAAAAAAAAGAATAGTACTTCCTCTCTAAGTGATAAAATCCTGATGAAACTGTTAAAATTCAGGCCAGGCATGGTGGCTCATGCTTGTATTCCCAACACTTTGGGAGGCCAGGGCAGGGGGTGGATCACCTGAGGTCAGGAGAATCGCTTGAAACCGGGAGATAGGGACTGCAGTGAACCGAGACTGCTCCACTGCACTCCAGCCTGAGAGACAGAGACTCCATCTCAAAAAAATAAAGAAACTGTTAAAATTCACCTGACTGTCTGCCATTTGAACTCTAAAAAACGTCTGCCTGATCTCATGAACCACTGCACCGAGACGATTTCCAGCCCAGCACTGGGGGCCTGGCCCACAAACGAAGGGAACCCCTGGAAGGTGCTGGGGTGCTGGTGGGCCCGGCTGTCGGTTTGTGCCTTTAGGCAGAACCAACGTAGGAATACAGGGCGAGCTCAGATTGTGACTTTGCATGACACACAGGCCTAGCAGAGAGCTGGGCTGCGAGGGGTTCCCACCCAGGTCCCACCCAGTCGCCTTGCTCCTCTGGCTGCGTTCTGGGCCACTGCAGCACCCCTGGCCCTGCTCAAACCATTCCTGCCTTTGCAGGAGGAGTTGGGGGAGCTCAAGCTTGGTGCATTTTGCATCTAAGAAAAGTGGCTAAGGGATGTCGCAGCGTCCCCACTGGAACACCTCGTTCCTGCATCTGTTTGGCCGAGCCTGACGATTGTTTCTGCCCTGCCAACGGGGGGCCAGGCTCCCAGCCTTCCTCCCTCTGCTCTCCTCTTCCCATCCCTTCATCCTTTCCTTCTTTGTCCTCAGGTCTCCCGCCTCCTCCTTTCAGAGCCCACCTTCAGCTTTTTCCTGCCCCACAGCCCCGTGAGCGTGCACCGGGGCCAGCACCTGTCCAGGACCCCATGGTGGACGGGGCGGCAGCTGCTCTGCTGAGAAACCAGTGACAAGCCTTATTCCTGTGATTCTGATGCACGAACCAAGTCGTACCAAAAAGTAGACTTTGATGGCATTATGAAAATCTAGAACGTGTGTGTGCATTTTTGTAATACGTGTCTAATTTTTTAAAATTAAGCAGCACACAAGCCCAGCCAGCAGCCATGTTGGTTGTTGGTTATGAGCTGGACTCCACTATCCTCTGGCTCCATGTCCTCATGCAGAGGGGGCTCGTCGTGCGCACTGAGTTCTTCTCCCTTGTAGGACGGCGGGACCCGGAGGCTGGAGAAGGCCAAGGTCTCCCTAAATGACTGCCTGGCGTGCAGCGGCTGCATCACCTCTGCAGAGACCGTGCTTATCACCCAGCAGAGCCACGAAGAGCTGAAGAAGGTTCTAGATGCTAACAAAGTAAGTGGTGGGCGGCCCGAGGACTCTGCTTTAACCTGAAATCCACCCCAGCAGCCGAGACATTTTGCCAAGGGCAGCTTGTGCGGTGCCGCCGTCCTGCCTGCAGGTGGCACCTGCCTTTCTGAGGCTTGGGATCTCGGTGATTTACCTGTCAGTTGGTGCCAGTGGTGAACGTGTCAGGCCCGGAACTTCAGGTTCTAAATATACATCAAAATGACACCCTTGCTAGGCGCAGTGGCTCGCGCCTGTAATCCCAGCACTTTGGGAAGCTGAGGCGGGTGGATCATCTGAGGTCAGGAGTTCAACACCACCCTGGCCAACATGGCAAAACCCCGTCTCTACTAAAAATACAAGAATTAGCCAGGTATGGTGGCGCACACCTGTAATCCCAGCTACTCGGGAGGCTGAGGCCAGAGAATCACCTGAACCCAGGAGACAGAGGTTGCAGTGAGCCAAGATCATGCCATTGCCCTCCAGCCTGGGTGACAGAGCGAGACTCTGTCTCAAAAAAAAAAAAAAAAAATGTTATCCTTGGCCAGGCACAGTGGTTCACACCTGTAATCCCACCTACCCAGGAGGCTAAGGCAGGAGAATCCCTTGAACCTGGGAGGCAGAGGCTGCAGTGAGTTCTGATCACAGCACTGCACTCCAGCCTGGGCAACAGAGCAAGACTCTGTGTGGGGGGAAAAAAAAAAAAAGACACTCTTGATAGAGCTGGCATGCCCTCTCCACAGCCCATGGCATCTCACCGGGCAGCTCTGGCCACCAGGAATCAGCATAAGGCCGGCAGAGTAAGCAGCATCTTCCCCTTGCTTTGCAGATGGTGGCGCCCAGTCAGCAGAGGCTGGTTGTAGTTTCAGTCTCGCCACAGTCTAGAGCATCGCTGGCTGCACGGTTTCAGCTGAATCCTACAGACACTGCCAGGAAATTAACCTCATTCTTTAAAAAAATAGGTAGGCTTTGAACCTGGGGTAACACTGCCACTCCACACCAAGGGGGCGTCTGAGTGAGCCCAGGCTCCTCGTGCCTCTGAGTCACTGACATGCCACCCAGCCCTGAACTTCAGTGCTACGGAAACTTTATTCCCTCTGTGACCTCAGCCTGAAGTTTTGATTTGACATTTGAGAGCAGCGCCTTCTCACAGAAAACGTCTGCATTCTGACTGTGCACTTTCTGTAAGCTGGGGCTGACCAACTCCTTGTACTTTTTTAGCTGATGATATTAAGGCACTCTCTCCGGGGCTCTGCTGGGTTCAGCTAAGGCCAGCTTCGGCGGACTTCGGTTGTGTGCCTGGAGCTGGGCTTGGGTGTCTTGAGAGCCCCCAGCTAACCAGGCTCCTGTGCCCGGTGGCTCACTGGGAATGAAGGGTCTGGACCTCATGGCTACTGTGTGCCTTTCACGGGTAACCGCCACGTCCAGTCCCTTCGTTCCCAGTGAGGCAGGGCTGTGTGCTTTGTACCCGGCAGACTGCCTGTCATCCAACTGTGTCCTGGGTCCCTCACATTGGAAACCTGTTGACACTGGCAGGTGCCCCATGGCTCTTGTCTGACCCACACCCACGTCCAGTTGGTGCCTGAGCAGTGCTCTGGCACTGGGAGCCTGACCTGGTGTCTCAGGGAAAACCTGGCCTGGGGCAGCCCGTGGTTCTCCAGGTGGAAGGTGTGGGTTTCGCCCCACCGGAATAGGAAGTAAGTTCAAAGATTTTTACTTACAGATCATGGGCAGGTGGGGCACAGTGAGTCTGAAGGCAGTCCTCCAACCATGGGTTACACAAGGCAGGAATGACAGGTCAGGCAGAGAGAGAGGGACCCATGCGCTGGTGCCTCTGCTGGGGTCCAGGGCATGATCAGGCAGGTTTACCAAGCAGTTCTAATTGCTGGGCGTGGAGCCGGCGGGCCTGTCCCAGGAGTCCTGCTGTGTGTGAGGGGCGGCCACCGTGGCAGGTCTGCACACTCAGGGTCCGAGGGGCCAGTCCAGCAGGCCACGTCCAGCTGTGCCCTAGGGAGGGTCACCGGGAGCAGCGCACGTGGCAGTTCCCTGAACCAGCCATGCTAAGGAGCTGGGAGGGTGGAGGACTGAGCTGCCAAGCGGCTGCCCTGCCTCTGGGGTGGGAAAGCAAGGCCTGCATTCGCAGGGGATGCCGAGGCAACGCGGCTTAAGGAGGTCCCCACAGTGGGGCGGGGGCTTTGGCACGGGAAGCGGGTGCCACACACGTCCCCCAGCAGCACCACGGTGGTCCACACACAGGCGTGTACTCGCGTGGGCATCCCGCGCGGGGTTAGCCAGGCACCCACCTTCACCTTCCAGGGGTGCACTTTGTCTTCGACACCGCCTTCTCAAGGCACTTCAGCCTCCTGGAGAGCCAGCGAGAGTTTGTGCGGCGATTCCGAGGACAGGCCGACTGCAGACAGGCCCTGCCCCTGCTGGCCTCCGCCTGCCCAGGTGTGCTCATGGTGTGGGTGGTGTGAGAGTCAAGTTCGAGTTAAGTTAAAATGTGACATGATATGGACACAGATGACAAGGCGGGGGATAGGGAGTGGAGACGCAAGCCAGTTTCGCAGGACGGGTTAGAAATGTTGGCACAAATGGCCTTTTGTGGAGAAGGGGCTGCCCTCCCTTGGGAGCCACCCGCAGTCACCTCAGGTCCCTAGGCGGTGTTGCGTGCACGCTGAGCTCCACGTGGTGGTGGGAAGAACAGGAACGAGCACTCTTTAATGTCATCGTGATCTCCTGTGTGAGCGGGCCCGCCTCCAGAATGTCGTGCTGCTGCCTGCGGGTGCGGGGGCCGCCGTGCGCCCCCGCCAGCCCCGTGTGCCCCTGTCGCCTCAGGCTGGATCTGCTATGCCGAGAAGACCCACGGCAGCTTCATCCTCCCCCACATCAGCACCGCCCGGTCCCCGCAGCAGGTCATGGGCTCCCTGGTCAAGGACTTCTTCGCCCAGCAGCAGGTAACGGCGTTGGGCCACCCCAGGCTCAGGCTGGGGAGCGGCCAGAAGTGACTATTCTGACTGCTTGCCGCGAGGCTGCAGGAAACAGAGTCCTTGCCCTGGTGTGTGGCCTTCCCGAGCACACCTCCACCCTTGTTCCCTCCTAGTTCAGGCCATTCCTCTTCTGCTGGGCAGCACAGGGCCAGCAAAGTTCTGATCCAAAGGTGCTCACTGCTCACCCAGAGGCAGCCAGGCCTGAGGCTGCGGGAGCAGGAGGCCCTCAGGCAGCCCTGGCCACCAGATCCACAGGATGCCCAGCACGACCCCCACCTGAGGCCCAGCGGGATTGGAGCCTGACGACACTCAGCCAGCGGGGGGCGGGAGAGAGTGAGGGCGGCCCTGGTGGTGCCTGGGCCCGGAGTGCCCGTGTCCCCTACAGCACCTCCCGCCTGAAAACACGGATTTTCACCTGGGGCTGGGGCTGGTTGGTTCCCCCGTGACATCCCTTTCCCCGGCTGGTGTGCAGTGAGAGGGCCTGAGCTATGGCAAGGCCACTTCTCCTCCTTTGGACTTGGCTGTTAGGGAGTGCAGGCATGCTGGGAACGGGTCAGCGTCGTTTTCTGTCACAGCCAAGGCCTGTCCTGTCCCAGGGCACATCCGCAGAGCCAGCAGGAAGCTTCCTGGGAAATGGAGTGAGGCTCACTGTCCCTCGGGGTCCGGCCTGGCTGCAGGATGGCTGAGTTCCAGGTCACGCCTCGGCCACTGTACTGCTGGGATTGGGGAGACGTGTGTGTGTTTCTCCTCGTAGCGCTTGACTCCTGACAAGATCTACCACGTCACGGTGATGCCCTGCTACGACAAAAAGCTGGAAGCCTCTAGACCCGACTTTTTCAACCAGGAGCACCAGACGCGGGATGTGGACTGTGTCCTCACAACAGGTGCGGTCTCGCCGTGCGGCCCGGAGCCCTCGAGCCTCCTGGTCTGCTTCCTGAGCCCCAGGCACAGGTGGTGACTGCCCAGGATCCTGCTTGCGGGGGCTCTGGCTAGAGCCTGGGGGCTTGCACGCGTGCGCGTACCCTCATCTCTCCCCTTGGAGCCAGGTGGGCCCATGTGCAGCTGGCCTGTCTCGGGGACCTGCAGCCAAGTGGCCCTCAGTAGTACCTCCTTGCTGGCTCTGAAATGAGTCTTTGGAGGTGGGCAGAGATTCTCAAGTGCAGCCCCTTCAGCTCCCATTAGTCACCCCATTCCTGAGTCAAGCAGCCCCACAGTCTCCCCAGTGTGAGGCAGAAAAGCAAACTGCGGCTGGGCGCGGTGGCTCACGCCTGTAATCCCAACACTTTGGGAGGCAGAGGCAGGTGGATCACGAGGTCAGGAGTTCAAGACCAGCCTGGCCGAGATGGTGAAACCCTGTATATACTAAAAATATGAAAATTAGCTGGGAGTAGTGGTAGCGCACCTGGAGTGCCAGCTACTCGGAGGCTGAGGCAGGAGAATCACTTGATTCCCGGAGGACAGAGCTTGCAGTGAGCTGAGATCGCACCATTGCACTCCAGCCAGGGTGACAGAGTGAGACTCCATCTCAAAAAAAAAAAGAAAGAAAGAAAAGCAGACTGCCCAAGAGGCTGGACAGATGGACACTGGGTGAGCAAAGTGTCCATCTAGGCAGGACCAGGTGGCCTCCAGAGGGGCTTCAGGAGTGACCAGGCCCGGCCTCCCTACCACGGGCTGGGGTGGACATTTGTGGCCTTCTGGGGCCAAAGTGGAGACTGCTAGGGACGCAGGCGGCTAGGATGTTCTCTGACTTTGTTGCTGGGATCTCAGCTAAAGAGTGTCTATGCTGTGGTTTCCTTGCAGGAGAAGTTTTCAGGTTGCTGGAGGAAGAGGACGTCTCCCTCCCCGACCTGGAACCAGCGCCTCTGGACAGCCTGTACGTATGTCTGCCACCAAGAACTGTTATTTTAGCTTCTAACGCCGCCTCTGGGGATAGCATCCTCCTGCTCTGGGCTTGCCTCCCCACAGCCCATCTTGGCGACCTGTATTTACTCTATAAATCTGTACTTTCACCCCATATATTTACTACACCTCCACTCTATAAGCCCTCTATCAACTATTTCCACACATGCACTGTACAGCTGCCCCAGCATTCACCTTTTAAGTTAAAGACTGAGAGAAATAATCTCTCTCTACGGTGAAATGCCTCAACTAGACACATCCACGTGACCACCTATTATTATATCCACGGTCTTTACGTTCTTCCTCATCGTTCAACTAAAATGATTAAGCATAAATTACCATCTATTTACCCCACCAAAAATAATGAATATACAAAATCACAACCACCCTTGAGAATTAAAATGAACAAAAATCTATTCGCCCCATTCATTGCCCCACGTCAGAAGTGGCTGAGTGGCTGGGCGCAGCGGCTCATGCCTGTCACCCTGGCACTTTGAGAGGCCGAGGTGGGCAGATCACCTGAGGTCAGGAGTTTGAGACAAGCCCGGCCAACATGGTAAAACCCCATCTCTACTAAAAATACAAAATTTAGCCAGGGGCGGTGGTGGGCACCTGTAATCCCAGCTAGTTGGGAGGTTGAGGCATGAGAATTGCTTGAACCCAGAAGGTGGAGGTTGCAGTGAGACGAGATCGTGCCACTGCACTCCAGCCTGGGCAACAAAAGTGAAACTCCATCTCAAAAAAAAAAGAAAAGAAAAGAAATGGCGGGGCCCCTGTGATGGCCAGGGACACTGGAGCTGTTCCTCTGTGCCTGTGACTTGTCTCCCGCTTGGAAACGCAAACGCTCATGTGTGAGGGACAGAGGCCCTGCTCCGGCGGTTGGCAGGCAGCAGCCCCAGCAGTGCTGAGGCCCCTCCCTCCTTGCCAGGTGCAGCGGTGCCTCTGCAGAGGAGCCCACCAGCCATCGGGGAGGGGGCTCGGGGGGCTACCTGGAGCACGTGTTCCGGCACGCAGCCCGAGAGCTCTTTGGAATCCACGTGGCTGAGGTTACCTACAAACCCCTGAGGTCAGTGGGATGGGCCAGATCTCTGGGCAGAGCGACCACACAGCCCCCAGCCTTCCTTGGGCTGCTGCCTCACCCGGGGTCCTCCCACAGAGATGGGCTGGGTGGAGGACGGCCTGTAGGGTTTGGAGGGGACCCTGGGCCCAGGCAGGGCCCTCCTGGTGGACTCAGGGTGTGACTTCACTTAAGCCCTCCAGGCCTCAGTCGGCCCATCGTGGGGGATGGTGACCCTGAGCCCAAGGGGCCAGCGTGGGCAAGGGTGGTGGGTGTCTGGCGCAGGGCATGCAACCACATCCCAGGTGGGAGGGCCAGGGCCTCACAGCCATCCCTGGGGAGGGAGGCCTGTTTTACAGACAGGGAGCCCAAAGCTGGAGGTGAGGTCCCCTCTGGACTCGTGGCAGTGAGCTTTCCACCCTCTCTCCGTTCTTGTCCGTCCCCCTGCCCAAGAGAGAGGGAGAGAGCCCTGGGAGCTGCCCGGTCATCCCCTGAAGCCCAGCAGGCCTCCCCTTCCAAGCGGGCAGGAGCCCGGTGGGTGTGCCATGTAGACAAACCCCACCTGTGCCCCCCAGGAACAAGGACTTCCAGGAGGTGACCCTGGAGAAGGAGGGCCAGGTGCTGCTGCACTTCGCGATGGTGTACGGCTTCCGCAACATCCAGAACCTGGTGCAGAGGCTCAAACGCGGGCGCTGCCCCTACCACTACGTGGAGGTCATGGCCTGCCCCTCAGGTAGCTCCCGTGAGGGACAGGACACGAGGGCCCCTTCTGGGACCAGAGCTGTGGGCCACCACCTACCAGGCTGGGAGTGGGAGGAAGTGGGGCACAGAGGGGCCCGGTCACCTCCCTGCTCCCAGGTGGTCAGGAGGCTCCGCTGGGGCACAGGCTGTGACCCATGTGTCCCGTCTGCTCTCCCACAGGCTGCCTGAACGGCGGGGGCCAGCTGCAGGCCCCAGACAGGCCCAGCAGGGAGCTCCTCCAGCACGTGGAGAGACTGTACGGCATGGTCCAGGCTGAGGTGCCCGAGGATGCGCCTGGGGTTCAGGAGCTGTACACACACTGGCTGCAGGGCACGGACTCGGAGTGTGCAGGCCGCTTGCTGCATACACAGTACCACGCCGTGGAGAAGGCCAGCACTGGCCTGGGCATCCGGTGGTAGGGGCTGCAGGACCAGGACTCCCAGGAGGCCATGCGTGTGCGTGACAGCGGAACCACATGCCCCAAGACCCCAGGGCTCCTCCAAAAACTGTGAGTGAGCTGCAGGGTGTGCTGGGACCCAAGCAGGAGCTGGGACTGGCCAGGACCCACGGCTGCCCCGTCACCTCCAGTTGGGTGCCTCTGGGTTCCCCGCTGGCTCTGCGCAGGTGGGGTGGCCCAGGCAGTAGAAGGTCCCTGAGGTCCCACGGCCTGTTCGTTGGCCCTGGGCCGAGGCCCACAGGTGCTGCCCTTGCTGTTGCTAGTCGGGCACCCAAGTGCTTGAGGGGCTTCAGCCTGTCTTGGGGTTGCCTGAGGAAGAGCAAGACGGGTTCCCACCCCTGACTTCTGTAGGCTTCCCCTGAAGCTCTGTGCAGAAGGTGGGAGACAGAGCTGGACCTGCAGGGGTGGTCCCACCACAACCCTGTGTGTGGACCCTGGCAAGAGGGGGTGCTGGGCCCCTGGAAAGCAGGGGTTACTGTTACGAGGCTGTGGTCCAAGGCAAGCCAAGTACGAAGTGGCAGCCATCACTAGCTGTGTCATCCCCCAGCCTGGTCCCCACCAGGCCTGTCTCCCAGCGTTTGTCTAATAAAGGCATCCCCTCAACATGCCTATGAAACGGTTCCTCTCCTGGCACATCTGCCAACACAGAATGGCCTTTCGAAGCTTTATTTGTAGTTCAGAAGCTCCATGCGCGCCGCTTCCCAGAAACTCAGGTCTCGGGGCCCACACGGCCCCGCACAGTGGTCCTGTGTGTCCACCCAGGAAGCACAAGCCTGCCGAGGCGCACACTCTGAGGCTGCGCAAACGGCTGGCCAGGGCCTCAAAGAATGTTCCAGAGGTGGCCCTCGCGCGGGTCCCCCTGGCTGAGGTCACGAGGAGGGACGCAGGCCCTAGCCCTGTGAGGGCCTGGATGGGTCACTCCTGTGGGGCTGCACTCAGGAGCCCCCACTGCAGCGCAAGGAGGGCCCGCGCCTGTGGCTGCCGCGGCTCGCCTGCCTGCTCGAAGCGCGCCCGCTCCTTGTAGAGCGCCTCCAGGACGTCAGCGGGGACCGCCTTGCCCGTGAACTTGCGCACCGGCTCCTCTCTGCAGGGAGGAGTACAGTGAGGCGCAGGGCCCACTGCCCACGCATGAGGATGGTGCCGAGGGGCGGGGGCGGGCGGGGAGGCACTTAATAAGCAGCCTCCCTCAAGCCAGAGATGCTCACTCAGCCCAACACGCGGTCCCCAGATGCCTTCCTAAGGGTCCACGTGACGGTGGAGGCCCCGGGACGACAGCCATACTCACGCTACCCGCAGGAAGGGGTTGTAGAGGCGTTCCTCGCCCAGAGTCGACGGCACTGTGGGCACGTCATCCTCATCCCTCTTCTGGAATGACCACAGGCCCTGGTCACCATTGGGCCTTCTCTGAAAGCCCCCCAAAGCCTGTGCCCCCCACCCTCTTGCCGAGGCCGGAAAGGGGCCGTGCCTTAGCCCAGGACAGCTTGGCTCTCACGTGGTCGTTGCACGGCTCTACTTTCTGCGCAAACTCCAGGTTGCTGAGCGTGTGCTCATGGCCGCAGAACACCTTCTGCAGGAAGAGCGCTCGGTGAGCGCGCGGGCGGCCAGGAAGCGGGGAAGGTGCTCGCGCCGCAGGCCTGGCCTCCCCTCGCCGGCCGCCCTCAGGTGGGCATTCACTCTGCACCCCTGGCACAGTGCAAGTGTGGAGCGTGGGGCCTGTGCCCACGGGAGAGGAGGGGAGGGTCCAGGCCTGCTCACCGTCTCGGGGGGCAGGGTGCCCAGCTCGGCCAGGCTCTGGTACATCTGCTGGGCGCTGCCCTCCAGGCACGAGCCGCAGCCGGCCACCGACAGCGCGTCCCCTGGCGGGGGAGGGCGGGTCAGAGCAGATGGGGCGGGGCCGGCGGGAGGCGGGGTGGGCACGCTCTGCGCTGCGGGTACCCGAGAACAAGGCAGGTGGGTCCGGGCAATCGTCCTCCCACAGGAAGTAGCTCATGTGGCCGGAGGTGTGACCGGGCGTCAGGAGGCAGCGCACGTGGATGGCCCCGAACTGCAGCGGAGGAGCGCGCAGACCTGTGAGGGCGGGCGGAACCGGGACGCCCTCCCCGCCTCTCCATGGGGCGCGCGCTCACCCGCAGCTCCTCGCCGTGCGCCAGCCTGCGCGTCAGCGAGAAGATGCGCTCGTCCGCGCCCAGCACTGCCAGCCCAGGACGCAGCCGCGCCAACTCCGGGTTTCCCCGCGCGTGGTCCCTGCAGGCGGGCGGGCGGGGGCCGGGTTAGGTCGGGGTGGGACAGGGCGGCGGCATCCTCCCGCCTACCCCGCCCCGCCGGCGCTCACCAGTGATGGTGGGTGGTCAGCACGGCAGTCAGAGACACCCCCTCCCGGCCCACGATTTCCAGCAGCTGAAAGGGACGGGAGTGACGATAACGCAGACGGTCCCAGTGGGCCACCCCCTCCATATCGGGGCGCCAGGTCCTGCCCCAGGCTGGCCAGGGCCCGGGGCAGCGCCAGGGAACGGGGACCCAGCGGGCGGTGACTGCGCCTAGCGCGTGCGGAGACCGCCAGGCAGCAGCGAAAGGGCGGAGGCCAGAGGCGCCCTAACTTCAGGGAGCCCCGAGATAATCGAGGAACCCCAGCCGCCAATGACGCCCGGAGAGCACTGCACGTGGGGGCTCGCTCCTGCCAGGGGGGTAGGGGAGGCTCTCGAGGGTCACGGCGGGGTCCCGGCCGCCCGCGGCCTGCCCTCACCCTCTTGGGCACGGCCACGTCCACGGCCACCGCCTCGCGCGTGATCTCCTCGATGACCAGGTACATGTAGTTGTCCTCGAGCACGGGGATGACCTTGACCTTCATGGTCACGAAGCTCGGCCACCCGTGCCTGCTCCAAAACAAACCCCCCAGCCCACGGTGCCCCTTCAGGGCGGGGCCCGCTCTCCACACCCTAGGAAGGGCTGTGCGAAGCGGGCTCGGTCAACACGCTAGGGGCCAAATGAGGAGCCCGGCTCCCCAGGAACTCCCCGGCACTCGCGTGGAATTCCACGCACCGGGCTCCAGTAGGAGCGGAACCCGGCCGGTCCCCAACCCGCCCCGGCTCCGCCCCCAGGCCGAGCTGCAGTCCCCGAAGGCCACGCCTTCCTCCCAGGCCCCGCCCCTCGGCCCCCCGCCCTGCCGCCGCAAGACCCCTGACCCCGGGCAGCCGCGTTCCCCCGCCGCCTGCCTCACCCGCACTGCTGCGCTGACGGCCCGAAGGACAGACAGACGGAGGCGGGGCCTCGGCTGCCGGTCACGGGGTCTGGACGGAGCGCGGCGCCGGGCTCGGGAGCAGCCAACCGCCCCCCTCCGCGGACGCGCCCCGCCCCCGCCCGGCCCGGATCCTGCGCGCGGTGAGACCACAAGGCCCGCAGCCGGGGGTGCGCGTGCCCGGTGGGGCGCTGCGCGCGCGCTCCGACCCCGTCGCGCCCCGCGCTGGCACCTCCTCCAGAAAGCCCTCCGGAACGCCCCGGCTGAGCCAGTCGTTTCCGAGTTCTCTGGCCCCTGATTGGGACCTGCGCGCCCCGCTTCTCAGGCCGGAGGTGCAGAGACATACCTCCCCGTCCGGGGCCCAGCCAGCATTGCTAGGTACACAGAAGGTGTCCAGCGAGTGTAGCTCAGGGCATCCTGCGGGCGGGCTGCTGCTCCGTTCTTCGTGCTTGTCTGCAGCGCCCAGGCTGGGTGCTTTCACGCACCTGGTTCCATCTGCACAGGGAATGTGCAGGGGGCGCTGGGCCGCATTCCCCAGATGGGGAAATGGAGGCACGGAGAGGAAGAGCTGTCCTTCCTCCTCCACAACCACACGTCTGGCCTGCCACTGTGGGCGGGGCCCTGAGAGTCATCTGGAACCAACAGAGGCCTTGGCAACGCACACAGCAGTGCTTGTGGCAGCAGCCGCCATAGGGAGGCCAAGCGTGGAGGCGGCACCGGGCTCGGAGCTGGCCAGGGTCCCTTTGCCTATGGAGCACGCAGCCACCACAGGCCCCAGACCTGGACCTCCCCCTCGGCGGGTGGACAACGTGAGTCCTCTGGGACGCACCACTCCTGCCACGGGGCTGGAGTCTGCCCTTTCCCCCAGAGGCCAGGAGGGTGCAGGTGCCTGCACCCTGGGTCTAATCTCAGCCAACGGAGGGACTTTTGCTGCTCAGCCAGGCAGGGAGAGGGGGTCAGTGACTGCATGGGAGTGGGGCCACCGCTCCAGGGACCCACCTGGGGAATGGGTGGCGGTGCCTCCCCAGGTTGTGCTACGAGCCAAGGACTGGCTGCCAGGAGCTCCTGGGGGCACCACAGCATGGGCCACCAGCCTGGAAGCAGAGGTCCCACCAGATCTGGTGCTCAGTGAGGAGCAGCAGCTGCAGGTGGGTGTGGGGCCCCAGGGTGCTGTGAGGAGGGAGAGTGCCAGCAGGGCTCCACAGATGCCACCTCTCACCTGGCCACCCACAGATCTCCAAGGAGCTGGTCGACATTCAGATCACAACCCACCGCCTACAGGAGCAGCATGAGGCTGAAATCTTCCAGCTGAAGAGTGAGGTGAGCAGCCGTGTGAGCCAGCCTCAGTGCATGGGGGACAGAGGGGTGCAGGCCCAGGACACGTGCCCTGCACGGGTGTGCACACGCACGTGGCATCTGTGGGTCTTGGCCTGCCCCGTGAGTGCTGCGTGTCCCTGAGCGTGCACCAGGTGAATGTTCACCTCCCCCAGGTGGCCCGCAGGCAGGTGCACCCGCTCATGCCAGTTGTCCTACAGATCCTTCGACTGGAGAGCCGGGTGCTGGAGCTGGAGCTGCATGGAGATCACACCAGCCAGGGCTGTGCGGTCCCAGTGGAGGCTGACCCCATGTACCGCCGGGCACCAGCCCAAGAGCTAAGACACAAAGCCCAGGTGCCTGGACACTCTGATGAGACTGCAGACTCCAGGTCACATGAGCACACGGAGGGCCTGGCTGGGAGAGGCCAGAGGGAAGCCTCAGCAGGGGCCTCAGCGAGACTGGGGCTCACCCCCCTCTTAGCCCTCCCTGCCCTCCATTCCATTCAGGTGCAGCCTAAGAACGCCATGAACCCCGAGAATGAGCAACAGAGGCTGGGGAATGGCGTGAGTGTGTAGCCACCTAGCTCAGGGGAGTGGGCAGCACCTGGGACTCCAAACCTAGGGTCTCGTCCAGCCAGCCCTATGTACCCCACAGCTGCTGGGAAGCCAGGAGCAGCTGCAGAAACAAGTGAAGTGGGCGCTGGAGCGTCAGGAGGCCCGGCAGCAGGCACTGGAGACTCGTGTGTGAGTGGTTGTCTCACCTGGGGCCCCATCCCGGAGCAGAGAGAACCCCTCACCGTGGGCCTGAGCCTCACCTCTGTGTCCTCAGGGAAGCCCTGGGCCGGCAGCTGCAGGGAGCCCGAGAGGAGGCTAGAGCAGCTGGACAGCAACTGGCCACACAGGCTGTGGTGAGGCCCTGCCCTGCCTGCTTGGAGACCTGGAGGGTGGGGGCCCCAAAAACTCAGCCGGGGTCCACTCCAAGGGCACAGGATGAGGGCTGCCTCCATCCCAGGTGCTGTGCGGCTGCCGAGGCCAGCTCCGCCAGGCAGAGGCCGAGAACGCCCGGCTGCAGCTGCAGCTCAAGAAGCTGAAGGACGAGTACGTCCTGCGGCTGCAGCACTGCGCTCTGGAGGCGGTGGTGAGCCCTGCAGGAGCACCCTGAGGCCTGGGGAGCCCAAGCCTGGCCTGGGTGTGTTGGATAGCTTCAGGGAGACCCCGGGGCACCCGCACTGCTCAGCCTGCTGGGGTGGGGGGATGGTTGGAAAAGATGGGGGGTGGGCCCCAGGCGGACACAGCCCGCCACCTCCAGGAGCACGCAGACAGTGCAGGCCAGGCGCCAGCCAACACGGCCCTCCGGACATTCCTGGAGGCCACTCTGGAGGACATCCGGGCAGCACACCGCAGCCGTGAGCAGCACCTGGCCCGGGCCGCCCGCACCTACCACAAGCGGCTGGTGGATCTGAGCCGCAGGCATGAGGAGCTGTTGGCTGCCTACAGGTGGGCCCCGCTGGGGTGGGAGGCATCAAGCATCTGTGGGTCTTTAAGCCTGTGTCTCAAAGGCTTGGTGTCCAGCAGGAGTGGCCCAAGACAGAGACTGGTCTACGCTGACAGGGCACCTGGGAACCCCCAAGCTATTTTTGACGCAGCCAGCTTGGACCTGGAACCATTGCCCGTGCCCCTGGTCACTGACTTCAGCCATCGGGAGGACCAGGTGAGGCTAGAGACCCCCAGAAGCTCCAGGCCCAGGTGTCCCCCACCCACCCACTGCCCCACACTGGCCTTGGCCCCAAAACTTGCCCCAGGCCTCATCCTGGGCTCAAAAGAGACCTCAGCCCCAGGCTTCTCAGGGGCCTGCCTTGTTCAGCCAACTGAGATGTCCCCACCACAAACCTGTGCAGCACGGCGGGCCTGAGGCACTGCTCTCATCCCCACAGAAGGGACCCGGTGGAGCCTCCCAAGGGGGAACATCAGAGCCACAGTGAGTGCCCTCATGGGTGTGGGGGACTTGTGGGGGATGGGCAGAGAGTGCAACACCTACACCCTAGGGCTCCCAGTTGCTCCACCAAGCCCCTGCCAGAGTCTGGTCACAGCAACACACTCAGTGGCATGTCCCCACACTGGGGTCCCTCCGTGGGTCCTGGGGACACTAATAATCACAGGAGAGGGAAGAGGAGCTGCTGCAGGTGGAGCTGGCCTTAAACACGGAGGATCAGAGAGAGCACACCCGAGGGAGGTTTCCGCTGAGACCTGGAGGACACGGGGTGGGAGCAGGGTGCCTGGTGACCTGGTCAGCCCTTGCCACTGGGCCTCCATGTTCGCAGCTGTACAATGGGCAGGGCTCCCCAAGGACCATCTCCCAGGGTTTAGGGCACACCCGTGTGAGGGTGGCATCCCTGTTGACGCTGGGGTCACTGTCTGGGCCGGCCTTGTGGTTTAGTCCTCCCTGAGCAGCCAGCAGACCCCTTGGGCCCGGGCTGCCCCTACACATGGATGGCTCCAAGGCCTAGGCCGGGCCACAGGAGCATGGGGGGCCAACGCCTCCCTCACTCACTCCCAGGTGTCCCCTCCTGGCTCTGGGAACCTGACTCAGCACGGTCACAGGTCTGAAACCACTCCTCCTTTCCTCTCCCCTCACAGGGGCCTGGACGCTGCATCCTGGGCCCAGATCCACCAGAAGCTCCGGGACTTCTCCCGCAGCACCCAGGTAGGAGGCAAGGGCTGGCCCAGGCCCCTCCTCATGCCATGCCCCAGCTCATGGTTTATACCCCCATGGCAGGCAGAGCTGGAACGGGAGCGGGCACAGCTGCTGGTCCGGGCCACGGTGGCTGAAGAGCAACTTTCTGAGCTACAGGAGTACGTGGACCAGCACCTGGGCAGGTGGGCTCTCGAGAGGGAGCACGGTGTGACCCCAGGGCCCTGGTCTGGCCGGAATGGAGGACGATGGCTGCCTCAGGCACTAGAGGCAGACCCGTCCACAGATGGGCAAGTCACTTAAGCATGGTTCCTCTGAGCAGGTACAAGCAAGAAATCCTGAGGCTGAGGAAGCTGGCAGGTTCAGGGAACCCCTGGAAAGTGGGGGCTGTGCCTCCAGCCAAGCTCCAGCATCCAAGGACCGGCAGCCACTAGCCCATCTCCCAGGACCAGAGCAGAGCCCATCACAGCCAGCATGGAGCCCTCCCACCCCGTCTCCCACGAAACATGAGTCAGGATACAACCCCAGAGTCTTTATCGTATTTGAACACTCAGCTGGCCTGAGAAACATGGGCCCCCAGGACGCAGGCAGAACTAGGTCAGGGGGCAGCCTGGATGGGTATCTGCGAGGAGACGGCCTCCCCAGCCTACCCACCCCCAGGAACATCGTAGGCCCAGACTTGGTCCAGGCCCTCGCCAGCCACGGCCACAGGCTGCCAGGTGGGGAGCGGGAAGCGCCCAGACACCACGCGGGCCCCGGCAGGCAGCTCTGCTCTCAGCTTGTCCTCCAGCAGTGGGAGCTGAGGGAGAGAGCAGCAGAGTTGGGGGGGCAGGGCCCCCAAGCCTTGCACTCACCGGGCGGGCCCAAGCCTCAGCAGCAAACACCCTGGGGTGTGGCTGGAACTTCCCAGCAGGGCTGGCAACCCCGGACCTACCACGCTAGGGGCCAGGAACACAGACACGTTGCGGCAGTCCCTCAGGCTCACCTGCCGGAAGAGGAGTCGCCCCAGCGGGGGACAGGCCTGGTGGGCACGGGGTAACGGCAGCTTCCGAGTCCCAGCCCCCAGCCCTGGCAGGTGTCAGCCGCAACCTGGGCTGTCAGCGGGTGGCCAGGGCTCCCCAAGTTACCTTCCAGAGATCCTTGCGGCGATAGCAGACGCTGCCGGCACAGCCGGCCCTCCAGGCGTGCAGCCGCGCCAGCGCCACCAGCCACGGGTTCAGCTCGTAGCCCACGGCCGGGCGGAGGCCGCACCTGTGGGCCGCCAGCACCTGTGGGCACCGAGAGTGTGGGAACCAGGATGGGGGCAGGGGCGCCCGCCGGCAGGTAGGGGGTGTGGGGCAGCGAAGACATAGACACGGGCACTTACGATCCTGCCGTCGCCAGAGCCCAGATCCACCGTTTTTCCGGGGCGGCCTCGCAGCAGCGACAACACGTGCTCCACCTGCCGCGCGCTCGCGCCAACGTAGGGCACCTGGACCGGGAGGCGGCGGGAGTCCACTGGCCGCTCCCGGCCCGAACCACTCGACGTGGGGCGGAGCTCACCCCGGCCCCGCCCAGACCTTGAGCCCCTGAGCGGCAGCCGCGCTCCCCTACCCGGCCCCGCCCCCGGCCTGGTCCCGCCCCGCACCTGCAGCCGCAGCGGCACGCGCCGGAAGCCGGGCTGGAGCAGCAGCGCCCACACCGCGTAGGCCGCCAAGCCCGAGCCGGCCGCAGCCTGCAGCAGCTCCAGCGCGCCCAGCCGCCGCTCGCGTAGCTCCGTCAGCGCCTCGGCCGGGTCGTCCTGCTCCATGGCTGCGGGACGCGCGGCTCAGGGTCGTCCGCCCAAGGTCCTTCCCGGCTCGGGTCCGCGGCCTTCGCAGCCTGGCCCGGAGCTGGCGGTGTGCCCTTCCCCTCCTGCCGGGAGCCGCCGCGCGACACCGGAAGTGGCGGCAGAGCCCGCGCGGTCGGTCCGTCGCGCTGTGCGCTCCGCCCGGACCGGCTGCCCTCCCGCGGGTTCCGGCGAGCGGCAGCCTCGCGGGCTCTGCCCCGCCCTGTCCCGCTGCAAGCCAGCGAGGGTCGGCTCCGTTGGTCCGCTCTGCGGACCGCTGTCTGCGGCCTGTGCTGGCTGCTGGCGACCCGCGGAAGGGGACAGGCAGGCCCTGCCCTGGGGGAGCGCACGTCCCAGCGGGATACACCCGGCGATCTCACGGGCTAGAGGCCCAGGGAAACGTGGCTGCGCGTCTTTGGCGTGGAAGGAAGGGAAGCCTGCCTTGGAAAAGGGGCGATCCTGGCCCCAGAAGCAAACGGGGGCTCGTGTGGGGCTGCTGGAGCCCAGGGAGCCGGTGGGAAAACGGCTCCCCGGGATGAGACATCGTCCAGGCGCCAGCACCCCCATGACTGCCTCGGGGAGACTGGTCGGGGGCGCTCAACTGACTCGGACACCCAGCGCCAGCCAGATCCCTGGAGGACGTCCTTCCAGTTCTTTCCTGCAGCCTGAGCGATGAACCCCAGTGGGCGGGAAAGAGATGGGGGTCTGGGGTCTAAGGGAGAAGGGCATGGAGGAGGGGCTGACACGGAGGAGAGCTTGAGCAAGCCCAAGAAAACAGATGCTGGCTCTCAGGCGAGTGTGGTGGGAGGAAAGCCGGATGTCACAGGTGGGGGCCTCTGGCGCCTGCCCAGCTGCAGGGGAGGCAGACAGCCCCGGGAGTTGGGAGATCACCTTCCTTTTCCAGAAAGCAACACACAAAAAGACCGAGTTCCTGGAGTTGACCTTGTGAAGCCGGGGGTGGGAGGTGCAAGTGGAAGAGCCGAGCTCTGGGTCAGGCAGCTGGGCCACGACCTCCACACCCAGGGTAGGGCTGGACACCCACGGATGTCGGCGATTGCCTGTGCGCGCCCTGGCCTGGCTCTTCCTTAAGTATCCGTGGCTGGGGTCGGGAGCCCTTGCAGGGAGAGGCTGCTTCCAGACCTGGGTATTCCCCAGACCACAGCCCCCAAATGCAGAGTGTCTCACAGGCCTGCCCACATGTTGGCACCAGCCCCACCCAGCGCAGTGTGTCCTGTCCCCTGGGGGCCTGGAACAGCCCTCCCAGGAAAGGAAGGGTGTACACTGAGCTCTAGGGGGAGCTGACAGTCCATTCCTGTCCTGCTGCCTGCATTGTTTCCTGCACCTAGAGCAGTTACCTAGGAAGCACTGAGGAAAAGCTTATTGGATGAATGTACCTAACTGGGCTCTAGTGTGCACTCCCCACTCATCTTTTTTTCTTTCTTTCTTTTTTTTTTTTTTTGAGACTGAGTCTCACTCTGTCGCCCAGGTTGGAGTGCAGTGGCGCAATCTTGTCTCACTGCAACTTCTGCCTCCCAGGTTCAAGTGAGTCCTCTGCCTCAGCCATCTGAGTAGCTGGGATTACAGGTGCATGCCACCACGCCCAGCCAATTTTTTGTGTTTTATTAGAGACTGGGTTTCACCATGTTGGCCAGGATAGTCTCCATCTCCTGACCTCATGGTCCGCCCGCCTCGGCCTCCCAAAGTGCTGGGATTGCAGGCGTGAGCCCCCACGCCCGGCCTTCCCACTCCTCTCACATCCACACCAGGCACTCTGCTTCTTGGTCTTTGGGCAACCCCCAGCCACCTGTGCCTGTGTGAATTGGCACTTGCCTGGAGGTGTCTGTGATCCATAGGCCCCAGGCTCCTGTAGCTCCTGCCCATGTGCTCACCCACACCATCTCCCTATCTCCCATGCCACTTTGGCCACCCTTCCCCAGGGCAGGCATGAAGCCCCTGGCCTAATGTTCCAAGACCCACTGGGGCACCATGGTGCTCCTGTGGCCCTGCGTCTGCCTGTGTCTCATGAGAAGATGGCTGGTTGCAAAGCCAGGGCTTTCTCTGGGAGGGTCTGTAGGTGCAGGGCTCAGGCACTTCCTGGGATAGGTGGGTAGAGGCCAGGGTGCGGCCAGGGCCCAGCCCAGGGTGTTTGTGAACAGGTAGACTTGGGTGTGGCCAAAAAGGGGAGGTTGTAGAAAGCTGGCCAGAGAAGCAGGGCAGGTGCCAAAGGTGAGGGGGTTGCTCTGCCCATGGGAAAGCCTCCCCAAGACAGGAGTGGAGGAGGCGGTGCGGGAGGGCACACGGGCTACCTCCTCCTCTACTCTTTGTGGGTGTTTGGGCTAGGGGCAGGTGGATGTAAGGCTGTGGGTCCCAGGAAGTGGTCAGGGCTGGAGATGAAAAAGTGGAGGTTGTCCAGGGGTTATTGGAGGCTGGCTGCCCCAGAGGAGCGGTCCTGTGTGTGAGCCCTCAGCATGCCAGTTGGGACTCTGGGGAGAGGAGAGAAGCAGCAAGGAACCTGAGGGGGGGCAGAAGGTGGGAGGACCCCCCACAGTGCATGATGCCCGTCCTCGTCAGCCCTGTGGCAGGCAGGCGATCTGTGTGAAAGGGTAACTTGCACGTGCAACTTTCAGACAGCCTGCCCCATGGAAGTCCCAGGACGGCACTGGAGGTGACCCCCCAGATGTCCACAGAGAGCATGGCACTCATCAGACATCTATATCCGCCCACCTGGAGAAAGGACCGTGTTTGTGGGCTCTGCACAGCCGTGTCCCTCACACAGTCTCAGTTTCCCCCTTGAAAGCTGGGGGCTTCGTCTGCCTGGGCAGGGCCTCTGGCCTCCACCCCCACCCCTGGCCCAGGTGAGAACGGAAAGCCATTTCTGGGCCTCAGCCCCGGGGTCCCCTGGCCCTTGAGCTGTGACTGTCTCTTTCCCAGGATCCGAGGGGTTGGGGTGAGAGGAGGCAGCTCGCACAAGGCCAGGGGACCTGGAACACCCCCACCCAGGGGCTTTTAGCCTCGGGACCTTGGGCTGTGGCTGTCCCAAACCTCACTGGCCCTTTATGTGGCTGAAAGGCTGAGGAGGAAGGCGGAGACAGTGACAATGGGGCCAGTGGCGGGAAACGGTCCTTAGAGAACCCATTGTGCACCCTGCCTGCCGGAAACAGGCAACAAGCAGGACCCTGCAGAGGGGACCCCACACCCTTCGGGCTCCTCGCCACGTCTGGATGCTCAGCACGTCGAAGGGGCCTGCGGACAGAGGGGCCCATTCTTCCCCAAGGGCGGGACGGGGCCAAGGATGACTCTGCGGGCTCACAGCGGCCACAGGGGAAGTCGGCACCCTGCCAGACTGCAGCCCCTTCCCTCACAGGCCTGGCTCAGAGCCGGAGCACTGTGTGCCCGCCTGCCCCCACCGTACCCGAGGGACCCTATGCTCCTCTGCCCCTTTCTTCTCCTGCTGAGCCCCAGAAGCACCTGGCACGGGAGGCAAGTGGGAGCCAGCCAGGGTAGCGGGCGAGGGCACAGGCAAGGACGGGGCTGGTAGGTGCAGCAGAGCAGAAGCTTGCATGAGTGCAGGTCCCCATGTGCCCCCACCCAGCAGCAGCCCCTCCCCAGAATGTGGGTGTAACTCCTCCTCACATTTGCTCTCCCTCTCAGTTGCCAAATGGTCTTGAACAAGATACCATTCCCCCGAGTGTCAGTCTCCCGCCAGAGGCAGGAATTGGAGCCGTCCTCACAGCTGCAAGGCAGGCCCAACGCTGGGCTGGACACAGCAGACCAGGTCCATAGCAGCTTGTGTAAACAAAGTTCTTATTGATAGTCCCCATCACCTCCAACACAGTGGGCCCCCCACCCTCCCTCCTACCAGCCCCTCCCAGCATCTGGCCCCTCAGTGCAGCGCCACCTCACAGGGGTGGAGGTGGGCAGTGCGGGCAGCCTCGTAGGCACGGCGGAACTCCTGGAATCGTGGGGCACAGCCCAGCCAGGCCTCCCCGAAGCGGCTCCAGCCCATGAAGAGGAAGGTGCCTGGGCCTGGGCGGACGCCACAGCGCAGTGGGGTACGAATGGAGGTCAGCCCCTCCTCCCCGGATCCCCGCCTCCCGAACAGCGGCAGCGTCTGGCGGAGGACACGGGCAGCCATCACGGTGATGACAGACTCCTGCAGGTCCACGTCATGGGCAACCGCATGGATGATCCCGTGAATTACTGTGGGGAGGCATGTGGCTGGGGTGGGCATTCAGGGGAAGGCAGGCTCCAAGCTCCCCCCATGGTGGGGACACTCACCGAAGTCGCTGGTGCATGCGGCCAGGAGCAGCTCAGCATCGCTGCAGGGCCTGCAGGCACCTGGCATGCAGAGGGGGTGGTGAGGACAGACCCTGCCCTCTCCCGGCAGCACCTCAGGCCCCGTCCCTTGTCTGCACAGGCGGCAGGAGGCAGTGGGCAAATGAGCAGAGCCCGCGCTCAGGGCCTGATGGTACCTGGGGGTCCCAGGGAGCCACACAGCAAGTGTGCGTGCCCTGGGCGACACCTGTACTCAGGAAGCACACCTGCAGGCACGTGTCTCCAAGACATGGGCCTGGGGGCCGTGCCTAGCGATCAGCTGTCCTGGGCTGCCCTCCTGCACCCCCATCTGAAGACACAGCCCAGCATCTGGGACCCCTCTAGTTTCCCGAATCTGGGGCCTGAAGAGCAGCAGCCCAGCTAGGGTGACAGGAGGTGGGGGCAGAGGAAGGGTGGTCTGGGGTCCCTGGCCCAGGGCCAGGGGGCAGAATAGTGAAAGCCCATCCCTTTCAGGGTCAGGCGCCAAGCTCCAGGAGAGCCAAGAGCTGGGCCTGGTGCCCTGCAGGGAGGCGGGCGGCGTCTCCATGGTGACCGGGCTGCACACTGGACTTTTGTTGGTTGGGCTGGGGGAGGGGAGAGAGGTCACCGCTGGGCCAGGGAGCCCCGGACAGCTTTGGCCGGAGGCTTTGATTCTGCCCCCACCATCCCCTCCCCTAACCCTTCAGGGACCAGAGGCCCAGGGTTGCCCTGCTCGGCCTCCCCTTTCCTCCACTCTGCTCCTGCCAGTTCTTTCCCGAGATGAATTGGGAAGGGAGGGCGGGAAGGCCATCCCTCCCAGGCAGTCCCTGGCTGTG